TGCAATTTCAGGCCTCCCTGGTGGTGCAGGCGGTTGAGCACAGCGCTGTGAAGCTGTCCGCAGCCTCTGCAGTATTGGTTCAATCCTGGCTGGCCGCGGAGATACCCACATGGAGCGGCAGACCTCTCCTGTCTCGCTTGCCCGCTACTCCCCTCAGCAGTGTATTTCAGTGGATCTGCCTGTTCTGTTCCCCACTCTGTCTCTGGTGAATCCTCTCACCCTCCCGCACATCTGGCCTGTACCCCAGTTTTTGTATGCATAAATAAATAAATCTTTAAAAAAAAAAAGCTGCAGTTTCCACCTGGCTTTCTGTCTTGGCACCCTCAGCCTCAGAGACCAGCTACGATGCTATGAGAGCCCAGGCCACTGGGGAAGCCACACGGGCTGGAACCCTGGTCGAGGCACCAGACTGCAGCCAGAACAAACACCAGGCACTCAAGTGAGGAACCCTCAGGTGACTCGGGTCCTGGCCACTCTGAGTGTGACTGCAGGGATGACCCCAAGGGACACTGCCCAGCTGAGCCCAGTGAATGCCCAGGACTGGGCCACATAATAGAAACCATCATTGTTGTTTGATGCCACTGATTATAGGAGGCTCACTACAGAGTAACAGATGGCTGTGGCAAGGATGACCCTTCTCTCTTTCACATGCTGCTCTGATCCAGAAGTGAGCACAGTATACAGCAGGTGCTTACTAAATGTCCGCTGAAGGATAAAGGGACCCAGGTGGGATTAAAGCCCAAGGTATGCCCAACTTCAGAATGAGGCTCCTCTTCCATCACACCAAGCTGCCGCCACATCAGAGTCAGGGTAAAAGTGAGAGTCTAACAGCCCAATTCCTCTGACCCTCTACTCCTAAACAGGAACCCAAGGCTGGGCAGAAGAGACCTGGTGTCCAGTCCACCGAGGATATCAGCGACCCCAGTGGGAGCAGAGCCCGTCCCAGGCTCAGTCTCCAGGGACACAGAAACACAACAGGAGGGGATGGCCAAGAAAGGGGTGTCATTGAGACCCCCCGAGGTAACCAGGAATCAGAAATCCCCTCCCCCATAAAATGTCCAGGACAGACCGCTGTCAAAGAGCTTGGTTTACCCTCTGACGGCCACTCAGGTGAGTGTGACGTGCTAGGTTCAGCCACGGAATAGTCCATGTGACAAATGTTTCCCGTTGGGGACCCTGGACTGCCACCCCATAGACACACACAAGCACTGATGAACAGAGGCCCAAGAGCCACACGTTTGAGCACCCCCATTATGCTGGGATCCCCGGGTGCCCCAGGCAAGGTCACTGCCCTTGTGAATTCTAGATGCACAGGCACAGGCGCGCGCATACACACACACACACACACACACACACACACACACACACAATCACAGACACATCTACGTGGAAACACATGAACATAAATAGAAACGCGCACCAACACACACACAAATACACCTTTTGCTAATTTGTCCAACCCAATTTCTCCTTAAGCAGGGAAATCCATGACAGGGCTCCTCAGGACACACACAAGGCCGGTCTCCTCTCTGAGCCAATGCCACAGGCCCTCCCATCCCCAACACAGACAGCTCAGCCTTTTACTGAGGTTCAGGCCAAACCAACAGAGACACAGCTGCTGAAAACTGCTCCCACTGCAATGTGCCCAGTAACAGCTGACTGACCCTGAACAAAGCAGCCAATATGTGTCCCAAAGGCTTCCTGACCCACTCAGAATACAATCCAAACAGGATCTGTTCCCACCTTAAGAACCCCACCTCTCAGTCTGCTGAGGGCCCTGCAGCCTGACTGCTTCCCCCTCAGCAACCTTCCTGCTGTTTCTGCAACATTCCTCATGGCTCAGCCCCAGGGCCTCTGCACTTGCCACTGCTTTGCTCAGAAAGCTCTTGCCTGTGCTGTTTGTTCAGCTCACTCCCTCATTTCTCCTGGAGGGGTGGGCAGGGGGCCTTCCCTAATGGCTTCCCTCCTTCTCCATTTCCTAACCCTGCCTTCTCAGCATTTCCCACCACCTCACTGCAATATTCTTCGACCCTGCATTTGTTCCGCCCCATGACAACACAGCCCTCAGTTGGACATGGACCCTGCTTCATTCACTGCTGACGGCCCTGCTCCCCGATAGGGCCTGGCACTCTCCAGGAGGGAGGAAGGAAAAGGAGGAAGAGAGACAAGAGGAAGAGAGAGGGGGAGGGGAGGAAAGTTTGCAAACGACTGTGTCTTTTTTATTCTTCCAGCAGGGAGAGAGGCCGTCCCTGCCCAACGACAGCCATTGCACACCAGGATTTCTCTCAAACTCAGAGAAAAGGCAGGGGTCTCAAACTCCAGTCCCCTGGGGCCAGGCAGTACCACAAAAGAGGAAAGTGAGACTGCAGAAAGCAACAGGGCAGGGTGGAGACTCTGATGACCTAGGGCCACACCCAGAAACTCTGGCCAACCACTGCAATGTGAGGCAAGAGCCCTCGTGCTGTGAGCCAGCCTCAGCAGCCTGGGTGTCAGGGGTTCCTGAAGGATGGGATGGCCTCTGGAGCAATTGTGGGGTGAATGAGGGGGATGAGGGGGAGGGGCAGTGAGGAGACATGGACACTCGATCAGGGTGCAGGCATCAGGGTGCAGGCATGGGGTGCAGGCATCATCCTGCTGAGGGTCTCAGCAGTCCTTTATTTATACATAGCAAGCAAACCATGAGTGTGAGTGCATAAGCATATGCATTAAGGTAGGAAGTTAACAATCACTACATGTTTTTTCAAGAGCGGCCAAGGGTTTGTTTGCCTTCCTGCAGAGGTCGTGACATTTATTATTCTTTGTCTTAAAGAAGGCACAGTAGCTAAACAAATGTTCTTAGAATAGTCATTTACTTTAAACAACCAACCAGTCACTTTATTACTAGCAAAAGGCCTATGTGACTGCAACTAACGTTTATTTCTATGTTTGCCATGGTGAAGATTAACTAAGGGCTGGGGGAAACAAAGGGCCGGAGGTTACCTGGGGGAAGGGAGACAAAGGGATATTTTTTAACTAACCTATAAAGTTTAGATCAACATATAACCAAATGATTAAAGCAAAAAAACAGAAGGCTTTTATATAGAAATCATCATCTATAGTATATTGTTTTAATATCAATTCAATATTAAGGAACCAAGGGCCTGGAGGCATTAATGCAGGCACTGGCATTAGTGCAGCTTCCCTAGTCCCCAGCTCTCAATTAAGGGAGGAATTCTCCTAATCTAACAAAAGAGTTTTCTACCTATTATTCCTCTACTTATCTAGTCAGCCTGTAACAGGGTGGTCCCCAGGAAAGGGGGAGGTTCCAGGTTTCCTGCCCCACCCAAATGGAGGGTGGAGCTGAGCAGGTAGAGAAGAAGCTGCAGAGGAGACTGAGGAAGGAGGAAACAGGATGGAGATCCAGAAGGAGACCTGGAGGAGGCACATGGGGCCAATAGACATGTGAAGAAACTGCGCTTGCCTTTTGGTCGTGGACTGGGTGACACAGATGTGGGTGAGAGACCCATGGGGACGTGACAATGGCAGTTTTTGTCTTGATTTTGATTTTGCTCTTTTCCTTTGGGGTTTGTCTGGTTGTTTCTGACCCTTTTCTGTGGGTCCCCACTGGAAGATGCTTTGGACTTGGGGCAGGCTTTGGGGCCTTGCTCTGGTCCAGTCCCATTTGGATGGAGTTTTACCCACCAGGGGATGGGTAACTTTGGGTGCTTCATTTAGAAACTATATTCTTTGCCTTTCCTGTATTGTTTCCTAATTGTATTAAAGTTCCTTCCCGTTAAAGTCTCATATGTTTTTGTGTTGATGTGGCGGATGGCAGAACCCATTTAGAATAGGCAGGTTTGGGGGGTCTGGGGTACACCTCTCCCTACCCTGTAACAAACCTAGTTTCCGTATCTAACTTTAAGATCAAGGGAAAATTCCTTTTTCTGTAAGATTGCTGGCTGTTATTTTAAGGAACTACAAATATTTAATCGGGGCAGGGCCGGAGATGGTTATTGCTTTTGGCTTTCGAAATGGTTAATACGTGACATATCAGTAGTGGTAACATTGACTATTTCCAAATGCATTATTTGTGCTGGTTATTAGCTCAACCAGTCACAAAGTTATTGTTGACTTATTCTTGAATGCACACTCTAACAGCTACCATACCAATTGTCACCTCCAGGGGAATCAGCCCTAAACAAACAGGAAGAATTTAGCAGGAGCCAGCTATGGGGCCTCCTGGCTTAATAGGAATTTTCTTACACTTGAGGCAGGGCTCCTAACCGCTATCTTTAACTTTAAAGTATAAGAATTTCCTTCTCCAATTAGCCCTTGCCTCAAAAGACCACATCTCCATATTAAAGACTTTGGCTGAGAGATGTTTACAGCCTTTTGTTCCCAGAAGTTTTTTCACTTTGTTAATGTATCAGGCAGTGCCATTTGCCATCAAATTGGTTGTTCACTAATTAATTAAACGGTATTTGCGGTTTTACTATTAAATGCGTATTTTGACAATGGTAGAAACTAGCCATAAACAAATGAGGAGAATCTAGGAGTCAGCTAACAAGATTCCTGACTTTTCAGGAATCTGCCCCATGCCTGGACCTTTGTCAGACGACATGAGTAGCATGGCTCCCAGTACCCTCGCGCTGCCAGAACCCCTCTTTTCTCTAGAAAAGAGGGACAGATATGCAAATTTCCTGATTGTTCAATGTTGGCTCATTTTTCCAAACTTCCTTATGCCAACGAAATGAGAGAACCTGCAGGTCCACAGACGGCCATCGACAGCTAAGCAGCAGATTTTTCTCCTTAAAGCCCCCAGCCAAGTCCACACCTCCGTTTTCCTATCTATAAAGTGCCGAGGATGATACCATCTACCTGCAGGCTTCAGGGAGTGGGGGTGAGATCCCAGAAGTGCCACCAGTTCAGAACAAGCGCCCAGTAATGTGAGCTGGCCCTGTCAATTTTCTCTCTTGCAGGCACACACACACACGTTTTTGTCGCTCTAGGGTCACACTTACAGGGTCGTTGATGGTTTCCGAGAACAGGGGCGAGCGGTCTGAGAAACAGGACAACACAAGCTGGACCAGCACGAGGGAAAAGTAGATATAGAAGGTGATGTCTCGAAAGTTGACATGGGCGCCCTACAGGCGAGGGGAGGGAGGAGAGAGAGAACATCACATCCGAAGCAGCTTGCAGGCCGAGGGTGCAGGCTGCAGGTCAACCCATGCAGGCCCCGGGCCACCCCCTGCGGTGACAACACTGGGTTGTCCAGGCTGCCTAGGGAAGGCAGCTGACTCCGTGGGAGGAGGCTGGGCTGGGTATGAAACAGACCCATGCCACGGCCTGGCTCTGTGCATCCCAGCTGAGGCACCAAGTCAATGTATCCAACCTCTGTGCCTCAGTTTCCCCATCTATACCAGACCTGTGGCTCCCAACCAGCAGTGATTCTTCCTGCCAGGGAACACCTTAGAGAAGTTTCTGTTTGTCATACTTGGATGGAGGTTGTGGGGGCGGTTACTGGTGTCCAGGGGGTGGAGGCGGGGCGTGGGGGTGGGTGCCCCTAACGTCCCACAGAGTGTGGGGCAATGCCACAACAAAGGCATCTCCAGCCCCAAATGTCAACCAGTGGTGAGGCCGAAAGCCCTGCTGGAGCGATGGGGAGACATCAATAAGACGATTCATGTACCAAGCTTGGTCCCCTGCCCAGCACATAGATCTCGTGATGGTCAGCTGTCAGCCTGGTAAGAGACGGCTTGCTCCAGCATAAGGCAGCTGGCCTGGACCACCTCGGGACCGGAGTAGTGGCTGATGGCACCCAGGTAATGTGGGGACAAGCCCCCTCACCCCCAGGAAGCAACCACTCTGCAAACACTGCCCCCCGACCTTGGCTGCGTGCCGGACTGCAGACATGTGGAGCCAGTTGGACTTGTAGTTATAGCCGCTATAGGCTCACTGTGTAGTATGCATCTGCCCATGGTTCCCAGGACCCACGTGGGGTCCTCAGGGCTGCAGAGATAAGGGGACCCTAAGAAAAGAAGGTTCTAGAACAAAGGCTAGAAGAGGGAAGGAAATCCTCAGGAGAGAAGTTGGACCCAGTGCCTCCCTGGTGGTGCAGGCCCTTAAGCGCAGCGCTGTAAAGCTGTCTGCAGCCTCTGTAGCACAGGTTTGATCCCGGCCAGCAGGCAAGAATTCCCACATGATGGGGCAGACCTCTCCTGTCTCGCCCGCTGCTCCCCTCAGCAGTGTATTTCGTCAATCTGCCTGTTCTGTTCCCCACTCTGTCTCTGGTGAATCCTCTCACCCTCCCGCACATCTGGCCTGCACCCCGGTTCTTGTATAAATAAATCTTTAAAAATAAAAATAAAAATAAAAAAAAAAGAAGTTGGACCCAGATGGGTCCCATCCAATGGCAACACATGATCTCTTCACCAGCCAGAAGGAACAAGCACCTCTCCCAAGAGCCAATGAAGGCAGAGGTAGAGGAGGCCACACTTACCTCTTTTAAGGCAGTCATGATTTTGGATCTTAAGATGGCAAGGGCACACAGTAGGGCTATGAGCCAGAAAGTGAGCATGATCCCTGAAGACTGTACTCCCTTCCTCCTTTCAAGCTGAATTAAAAAGGTAGCAAGCAGCTGGAAGATAGAAAGAACAACGGGAGTCAGGAGAGGGTAGGATTCCGATGTCCCCAGGACTGGCCGATAACAGCTCAGTGGTACAGAAATGGCTGGGAGGGAGGAGCTGGCTCCAGTCCCAGCTCTGCTCACGCCTTGCTGGGTGGCACTGGGTAAGTCACTGAACCTCTCTGAGACTTCACTGCCTTATCTGCAAAATGGAGATGATAACACAGCTACTTTGTGAGCTGTGGGACTTTAATGTATGGATCTGGGAAAGGATGGTGAGTCAGGGATCAGCACACCTTTTCTTAAAGGACCAGAGAGTAAATATCTTAGGCTCTATGGGCCATAGAGTTTCTGTCCCAACCACTCCACATGGCCGTGAAAGCACCCCTCCATGATACCCAGATGGGCCTGGCTGCCAATAAAACTTTATTTACAAAAACAGGCTGGGGGCCCACCCTGGATTTAGAACTAGAAAGAAGCAGTGATCAAATCCCAGCCCCAACAATGATGGGTTCCTTTGGACAACAGTGAAAATGTAATGTCGTCAACCCCAATTTGCAGACATGGAAACTCAGGTCACTTAATCTATGGTCATACTTTGAGTCCCCACTGTCCTTCTGATTTCCACACCTGTCCAGACCCATCTGTTCCCCACTCAAGGTCACTGACAGCTTCGAAACATGCCCAGCAGGGATGACACACGGTTGCTCAAAACCTGCCCCTTCAGAACCAGAGTTTTCAATCCCAGGTCCAGGGACTGGCTGAGGATGGAATCCAGGGCCCATGAACTTGGACAGGAAACAATTACAGTGTCACTTTCCTTCACTAGCACCACCAATTTACAAGCGACAGCAGCAAGTCACAGGGCACTAGCAGCAACGGGGGCTCATTCACCTCTGGAAATCACAGCTGGAAAAAAGAGCTAAGGAAGTCTCTGATGGTCATGCCGTCAGCCCTACCTGAAAATTAAGATGAAATCACACCCCCAACCAGATCATTCCTAGAGAGACATGTCTATTTTCACATGAATTTGTTTTCTTAGTCTTTGGACAGCTATATTTAAAGCTGATTGGTTTCCCAACCCAAAGTCCTGCAACTGGAGAACAGATACCGTATGTGGTGAAACCAAACAATCAAACACACTTAGCAGGTGAACAAAAAGATGGGTGCAACGGCATGGCTGACGCAAAGGTGCTGAGAGATCAGCCCCAAAGCTGCTCAGAGATCCAGCCTGCATTTCCAGGTGTGGAAATCAGGAGGCTGAGGTCCACTCAGGTGACATCCTGCAAAAGGCAACAGGGCAGAAATACACCAGTGGTGACCAGGGAAGGGTGGTGGACGCAGGCTGGAAAGACGAAGGAGCCGCACCGGGAGCTTTCTAGGGTGATGGGACTGCAGTAGTTACATAACAACAGATCTCCACAGTGCTTGGGGCACAGTGGGGGTTCACAGCCATTGTTCACTTACCATGGTGATGCCCGAGAGGGTCGGGCTGACCAGAAACACCGGGGCCGGGAACAAGCCCCAACTTCTTTCCCAGAAAGAATAGAAGAGGTCTGCCCAGCAGACGAGCCACAGCAAGAATCCCAAGGCCTGGAGGAGAAGCACACACATGTCTTACAATGGACGGCATTGGAACGGGCCCCGACACCCCTGCAAAGAAACAGCCTGAGGGTGACCAGCCAACCACTAAACTACCAGCCGTGGTCCCAGCACCCAGCCCATACCCTCTGCAACAAGGACAAGTCCTAGGTAGGTAGGGTGAGCTCCAATCTGGGTCATCACACCCCAGCCTATACCCTATTTGTCCGGTCACTCTTCTCCCCAGGCCCCAAGACCTCAAGAACCCGGCCCAGAGCACATCCGAGTCAGGCATCAGTTACCACAGGTCCTAGAGGCTGGAGCCTGGAGCCAGGTGGGCAGGGGCCAGCCACCTGGGCATGTGTAAGCACACTCTATGACGTCCCAGTGACAAACCACCTAACTGCACTTCTCAGGAGGCACCACTGCCCCTCGGTGATAGATCTGCAGCTGGCATAATGCCTGGCGCTCATCTAGCCTACATGGACTGGGGCCTGCAATGACCACGTACTTTTCAAGGTGCCAAGGACGTAGCAGACCCAAGCCCCTGCCTCCTTGCAGTTGATTCTAGAGGAAGGAAACAAGGTAAAGATACAGAATAAAACGAGAAAGTAGTAAGTGAGGTGCAGATAAATAAAATGGGTAAGGTAGGATAGTCAGGGAAGTCTCTTCCATTGGGTGATATCTCACTGAAGAGTCAAAGTGAGTATTTAAGGGAAAGAATAATTCAGGCAGAGGGGACAGCACAGGCAAAGGCCCTGAGGCAGGAATACATTTGGTGGGGTAAGGCTCCTGTGGAATGAGCAATGGCTTGGTGGGAGCTGAAGAGGAGCTCAGAGCCAGATCTGGGTAAACCACTACAACTTCCAGATTTTATTACCCGCGTTGAGAAGTTATTGGAGGGATTTTTGAGCAAGATGAAAGAAGAAAGTCTGATTTACATTTTTTTTTATTTATTTATGCATATAAGAGCTGGGGTGTAAGCCAAAGGTGCAGGGGGTGAGAGGATTCACTAGAGACAGAGTGGGGAGCAGAAGAGGCAGATTTTTTGAAATCCACTGCTGAGGAGAACAGTAGGGGAGACAGGAGAAGTCAGCTCCCTTGTCGGGGATCTAACTCTAGCTGCAGTGGCTGCTGATAGCTTCATAGTGCTGAGACTTAATCCCTTGCACCAACAGGGAGTCCCCTAATTAACATTTTAAAGAGAGATGGTGTTCCCAAAACAAAGTGCTCCCAGAGGTCTAACAGGAAAACATCCAACTTTGTTAAGGAGAGGGAAACAGATCATTTCTGAAGATAGGCCTGAGTTGCTGGGCAAAGAGGGGATATTACCAGCAGAAAGGGACAGACTCTGTTAAATGGCTCAAACCTTCCTATTTACCGAGGGTTTATCAAAATAAGTCTCGAGAAGCTGTAAATAAACAAAGGTGGCATGACATTCACATGCTCCTCACCTGTCCCCTCGCTGGCTCATTGCTGTGAGTGGCTGCACAGCGGGAAAAGCAGATCAGATTTAACTGTATCAAAGAGTGGGGGAACACCATGTGACCCCAGATGAACCAGCCTGAGGATACAGCATGGCTTTGCCCTTCCCAGCCAGATAGGCTGCAGCCACACCCAACCTTGAGGAAACCCTAGGTGAAGAGCTCATTGTAGTGACTGGCCTCCAGGCTTCCCCTGAGATGTGCCCCCAACCCTGGGAGGTGAGGCCTTTTATCAAGTTAAAGAAAAGGAAGGAAGGCCTGCCTGGTGGCCTCGGGGTTAAGGCTCAGCACTATCACCTCTACCGACCCTGCCAGGGAGCTGACCCTCATGTCGCAGCAGACCTCTCCTGTCTCCCTGCTGCTCCCCTCAGCAGGGTTTCAGTAGCCCTGACTGTTCTGCCCCCCACTCTGTCTCTGGTAAATCCTCTCACCCCCCGCACCTCTGGCCAGCACCCCAATTCTTCTACGCATAAATAAATCTCCCTAAAAATAAAGAAAACAAAGGAGACAACATGACTTGGATCCTGAACGGGGAAGGAACGTGCCAGAAAGGACAGCACTGGGACAATGGACAAAATTGGAATACACACAGGCATGCTTTTAAGTATCATGTCCATGCTAGGTGTCCTCAATTTATTCACTGTGCTGAGGATGTGGGAGGGGATACCCCTGTTCTGAGAAATGATACGCTGGGGGAATGAAGGGTGAAGGGGCTTGCTGGATGCTGCCTAGGCTCCCCGATTCTGAAAAAAATAATATGCACACATAGAGAGAGCTAAAGCAAGGAAGAAAATATGGCAAAATGTTAAAAACTGGTGAATATAAGTAACAGGTATACTGTTATAATGCCTCTGCAGGGGCATTCTTGGTATCATGCATCCAACTACTTGCTATTATTTCAAGATAAAAGTATTTTTTAATTAAAAAAAAAAAAACTAAGTAGATTGGGGGAGATATCCTCTGTGGGAGGGAGACGTCCTGGTCATGTCCTGATAATCCTGGAGACCAAGCCTAGTCTCCAAGCACTGACTGGGATACTCGGGGGAGGTAAGAAATTCACCCAAGGTCGAGCTAGGACAGGCACAGCAGGTGTCTGAACCCACATCAGGCTCCAAGGTCCCAGCTTACATCTACCACCTTATCACTCTGTCTCCCAGATGAAGGCGCTCAGGGCCAGTTAAGCAGAAGAATCCTGCCTCTTTTCACCACCCACTGCTCCGCCCAAGGGGCACCCACCCCTGCCCCGAAACCCCAGGTGACTTACAGTTTTGGCTTTGTTGAGATGCGTCATCTGAATGTAGCCCCGGTCATGGTGGGAAAGGTAAAGGAAGTAGAAGGGGAAGCAGGCCCAGAGGTAAAAGCAAGGCACCCACACCAGGACGGTGTTCTGAAAGCACTTGGTGAAGTCAGGGTTGCTGGTGTTCCACGAGATGTTCCACTCCTGCGGGCACAAGCACAGGGACGGTCACCGGGCGCAGCACGAGGGGCAGGAGCTGGGCAGAGCCTGCAGCCAGCAGGTCTAGGACAACAGACGAGGCCCCAGCACCCAAGGGCCTCTAGGCAGATCAGGCAAACGGGGACGATCAGGGCCCAGAAAGAATGCGAAACCAGGAGGAACGAAGGTAGGTCTCACTCCATGTAACAGATGAGACCCTGAAAGTGGTGGCGAGAGCTGTGGTCATACAAAAGATGGAGACTGGCCTTTAAAGGAGTCCTGATGTGGGCCTCCCCGGTGGCGCAGCGGTTGAGCGCTGGGTTGCGAAGCTGCCCGCAGCCTCTGCAGTACCTGTTCAATCCCCGGCTGTTCCCCGGCCACCGGAGGAGGGCCCCACATGGCGCGCAGACCGCTCCTGCCGCCCGCTGCTCCCCTCAGCAATGTACTTCAGTCCTTCTGCCTGCTCTGCTCCCCGCTCTGGCTCTGGTGAATTCTTTCACCCTCCCGCACTTCTGACTGTACCCAGTGCTTATATAAATAATAAATAAATAAATCTTTAAAAAAATAAAATAAAATGAAGGAGTCCTAATGGATACTCTCCTATAGACGAAGAGTCCTAAAGTGACATGGCTCATTACTACTTTACTCTCTCGGGAACAGAGGATTTTCTAATCATCTTTATCACCATTGCCATGATCTCCAAATCATCGCCATCATTACTAGCATAACCACCACCACCATCACAATTATTCTCAGAAAACCTCTACCACCATCATCAACACCATCATCACAACCACCCATCATCACCATCTTCATCATCAATTATCATCACCACCATCATAATCACTTTCACAGCTCTACCACCAACATCACCATTACAACCAACACATCCATCACCACCATCACCATCACCAACAGCAGCATCATCACCAGCACCAGTACCATCACCACCACCACCACCATCACCACCACCAACAGCAGCACCATTAGCACTATCACATCATCATGGATAATACCTGAACTGCAGCTCTACATGCTAGGTCCTTTTCTAAGTGCTGGATATGTATTATCTCCTTTAATTCCATAAGTACTTTATCATTCCTTTTTCAGATAGGAAAACTGAGGCACACAGCTGTTGAGAGCTAGAGCAAATTCAAACTCCAGCAATTTGATTCTAGAGTCTCTGCATTTACTACCAAGCTGTCCAGTCTTGGAAACACATTTGGTTTCATTTTATTCATTTTGATTTCATTTGTATTTTGTTAAAGAGACAAGCAAACAGTTCAAAGGACACAGACATAAATAGACCAGGTGTTCCTGCCGCCTGAGGATAAACCTCAAGCAGCTGTTAGACATCTATTAACAGAGAATTTAATTCAAGTCCTGATCTTGCCACTGACCAGTTCTACAACTTAGAGAGAAGATACAACTTAGAAGTTACCCTATCTCAGGGTATCACTTTTCTATCTCTACCACAACGAGTTCGATAAATTTAAAGTTCTGACACTGGTGAAAGCGCCTCCCCTGGTGGCGCGGGCAGTTGAGCGCAGTATTGTGAAGATGTCCACAGCCTCTACAGCAACGGTTCGATCCGGCCATCTGGCGAGGGTTCCACATGGCATGGCAGACCTCTCCTGTCTCACCTGTTGCTCCCCTCGGCAGTGTATTTCAGTCAGTCTGCCTGTTCTGTTCCCCGCTCTGTCTCTGGTGAACCCTCTCACCCTCCCGCGAATCTGGCCTATACCCCGGTTCTTATGTAAATAAATAAATAAAAATCTTTAAAAAATAAAAAATAAAGTTCTGACACAGGTGGCCCCCTGGCCAGTTTGACCCACAGTTTGCTATTACCATTGTTTTAAAGCACACTTTTAAAAAAAAATTAGATTAGCTGCCAACATTTAAAACCAGGAATTCCATATAAAAATTTGGAGTTCTGGCTTCTCTGTTTAAAAAACCAGAACATCTGCCAGCACAGAGTCTGGGTTCCAGCTTCAAGGTCATCACTAGCTGGGAAAAGCGAGTTTGTGATGAGTCCATGTGTCCCACAGTCTAGTGCAGCCTCTGCTCTCCCTACATCCCTTTTCACTGCTGACCATGTGCTCCCCAGCTCTGGTGTCCCTGTTTCCAGCAGCCTTTCCATAATCTGGTAAGTGAGCCCACCAGGTGACTGCAAGGAACCTGGCATCTCAGGCCCTGCACATGCTCCAAGGCTACCTGGAAAAAGATCCAGGAAGAGAACGTGATGAGGAAATGGGCATCATTTTACTGAAGACATCATTTGAGGGGCCTCCCTGGTGGCCTAGGGTTTGAGTCTCAGCACTATCACCGCTACGGCCTGAGTTCAATCCCCGGCTAGGGAGCGGACCCGCATGGTGCAGCAGACCTCTCCTGTTTCAATCCCTGCTCCCCTGAGCAGTGGATTTCAGTAAATCTGCCTGTTCTGCTGCCCACTCTGTTTCTGGTGAATCCTTTCACACCCTACACCTCCGGCATACACCCCAATTCTTATGTGCAAAAATTAATAAAGAAAACATTTGGGGGCCTCTCTGGTGGTGCAGGGGGTTAAGACGCAACCTATGAAGATGTCCGCAGCCACTGCAGCACGAGTTCCATCCCCTGGGCAGCCAGGGAGCTACCCACATGGTGCAGCAGACCTCTCCTGACTCACCCACTGCTCCATTCAGCAGTGTATTTCACTCAGTCTGCCTGTTCTGTTCCCCACTCTGTCTCTGGTAAATCCTCTCACCACCACCCCCATACCTCTGGCCTGTACTACAGCTCTTACATGCATGCATAAATAAGTCTTTTTTTAAAAAAAAAAAAGACTTATTTATTTATTTTATACAAGAACTGGGGTACAGGCCAGATGCGCAGGAGTGCGAGAGGATTCACCAGAGACAGAGCAGGGAACAATACAGGCAGACTGACGAAATACACTGCTGATGGGAGCAGTGGGCGAGAGACAGGAGAGGTCTGCCCTGCCATGTGGGACCCTCGCAGGCCAGCCGGGATCGAACCGGCACTGCAGAGGCTGCGGACAGCTTCACAGCATGGCGCTCAACTGCCTGCGCCACCAGGGGAGGCCCATAAATAAATCTTTATGAAAAAAAAAAAAAAGGAAAACATTTGATAGCCTGATCCAAATATTTGTCCCAAGTATTTAGAAAATGAGATGGATTTTTGCATGTTAGTGTGAATACACACAACTGAAGTGTACACTTAAGAATGGCTAAGATGGGGCCTCCCCCGTGGCGCAGCGGTTGAGCACTGGGCTGTGAAGCTGCCTGCGACCTCTGCAGTGCCAGTTCAATCCCCTGCTGCCGGGGAGGGTCCCATGTGGTGCGCAGACCTCTCCTGCAGCGCCCGCTGCTCCCCTCAGCAGTGTATTTAGTCAGTCTGCCTGTTCTGTTCCCCGCTCTGTCTCTGGTGAATCCTCTCACCCTCCCGTGCTTCTGACTGTACCCAGTGCTTGTATAAATAAATAAATCTTTAAAAAATAAACTTGTAAAGATGTTTAAAAAAAAAATGGTTAAGATGGGGGCCTCCCCTGGTGACACAGCAGTTGAGCACAGGGCTGCAAAGCTGCCCGCAGCCTCTGCAGCGCTGGTTCAATCCCCGGCTGCCAGCGAGTGTCCCACATGGTGCGAAAGACCTCTCCTGCGGTGCCTGCTGCTCCCCTCAGCAGTGTAATTCGGTACTTCTGCCTGCTCTGCTCCCTGCTCTGGCTCTGGTGAATTCTCTCACCCTCCCGCGCTTCTGACTGTACCCAGTGCTTGTATAAATAAATAAATAAATCTTTTTTTTAAAAAATGGTTAAGAAGGTTAAAAAAAAAAAAAATCTAGGTATTAAGAAAGTCCCTAAACTGGTTCTTTGGAGGTATAATTATTCTATGATATAAATGTTTATTTTTCCAGAAGTACACTGAAAAGTAAACTTTAAATGTCAACATGCACAAGGAGATTTAGCGAGGAAACCTCTAGACACAAAGAAACCCTAAAAAGGATAAAGATCACATCTCCAGGGACTAGACATCTGGAAGACAGCCATGCACAGGAGAACTTGACCATGGAGAGGAGAGATTTATATCAAAGACTGATGATTTCATGCTGGTGATTTCAACTGGTTTCATGCCACTTGTTAATTCTTTTTTTTTTTTTTTATTCTTGGTTTCATTTCATCTGCTGACTTATCTTTTGGACAAAGTGTAGAAATCATCTCCCCATCCCAGCCCCTAAGGCCCCAGTTCCTCTCTCTAGAGGCAACCATTATGGCTTCTTGGGCATAGCCTTCCAGAAAATACCTGATGCCTATTAACAAATGTAAATAGATTCCTTTCTGTAATCACACCCCTACTTACTGTTTCCCCCCCTCACAGCAACAGGTCTTAAAGATCACCTTGCACCACACAGTTTCCTTACTCTTTATTCTGAACACTTTGTCCCCCAATGGAGAGTGGACTTGACTTTACGGAATCAATCTTCTGCTGACTGGGCCTGAGTTGCTCTTACAAACCAAAAATGCAGCAGTGAATGGATAACCTGAGAAATGCCTCATCTCACACTTATATAAGCAAGAATATCCAGAGCCTCCCTGGTGGCGCGGGGGTTAAAGTCTCAGTGCTATGAAGCTATCATCAGCCACTTCAGCATGAGTTCTATCCCCGACCAGGGAGCTACCAACATGGCGCAGCAGACCTCTCCTGTCTCCCCGCTGCTCCCCTCAGCAGTGTATTTCAGTCAGTCTGCCTGTCTCCTCCCCACTCTGTCTCTGGTGAATCCTCTCACCCCCTGCTTTTCTTTTTAAGATGAATGAAACTGACGATCTTACCAACTGTGTTGAAAAGGAGTCAGCTTTCCCTGCTCAGAGGGAAATTCACAGACTTACACAACTGGTATTAATAAACAGGACAGATCTAGCCACTTGCTCCCCTCTGGATACCAATTCAATGGCTCCCAATCGCTGTTAGGAGCAGACCCTTCTTGTGCGTAATGAGATCTTCCACATT